GATGTTTGGAATCGAAACGGTATTTGGAAGGCCATATAATTTACCTCAATTTAGGATAGACTCTTAAATTTTGAAAGAGTCGAAATAGGATGAACTGATCATATAAACCCGAAGGCAAATATAATACAAGCACAAACGAAAAAATATATAAACAAGTCTAAATTGAAAACAACGTTCAAACCTATGATTGCGTTGGATAAAAACCGCAATTTTTATACGTGTGCATGCAAAACAAATGTCTTGGTAGAGGGGTCTAAATACAGCACAAACAACATTTTCCAAAAGACCAAAAAGTGAAAAAGTATATTTTAACAAAACGCATTTGACTAGCAGGTCGAACAACTGATGATCTTAAACCCTGCTGACTGCCATTGGCGATTGCCAAATAAACGGATCACCAGATGTAACAAACTGGATCTTAAAATAATTTATTACTTAACAGAAGACAATAAACTTGCGGAAAAGATGGTATACCGCAAACATGAGGTGCAAAAGTTTGTACACCATATCCGGATTTCGACAATTAATGTCTCTTCAGTGATGTTCTGAATCGAAACGGTATTTGGAAGGCCATATAATTTACCTCAATTTAGGATAGACTCTTGAATTTTGAAAGAGTCGAAATAGGATGAACGGATCATATAAACCCGAAGGCAAATATACTACAAGCCCAAACGAAAAAATATATAAACAAGTCTAAATTGAAAACAACGTTCAAACCTATGATTGCGTTGGATAAAAACCGCAACTTTTATACGTGTGCATGCAAAACAAATTTCTTGGTAGAGGGGTCTAAATACAGCACAAACAACATTTTCCAAAAGACCAAAAAGTGAAAAAGTATATTTTAACAAAACGCATTTGACTAGCAGGTCGAACAACTGATGTCCTTAAACCCTGCTAACTGCCATTGGCGATTGCCAAATAAACGGATCACAAGATGTAACAAAATAGATCTTATTATTAATTTATTACCAAACAGAAAACAATAAACTTGCGAAAAAGATGGTATACCGCAAACATGAGGTGCAAAAATTTGTACACCATATCCGGATCTCGACAATTAATGTTTCTTCAGTGATGTTAGGAATCGAAACGGTATTTGGAATATATGTAATACTCAGAAACGTGTCCTTCCCCCCAAACGTGTCCGATTCCCCCAAACGTGTCCGATTCCTACAAACGTGTCCACATGACGTCACTGAACTGCAAAACATATCTTAATGTAAAAGGGCGCCAAAGCGTGTCATTTTTATAAACCCCAAACGTGCCCAATCTCACAAACATGTCCAATCCCCCAATCGTGTCCATATCAAGCTTAATGTTTTTCTTTTACTGGAACTATCATTCGTGTCCATATTATATTACGTAGGTTATTTGGTTATTGCTTTTTCATTAACGTATACTCATTTTACTATTTCATTAAAAAATAGAAATAAATTACTTAAGGTCTTTTTTAAACCGGCAGTATAACCTGGGTAAAAGTGGGGCGTCCGTTCAACCTTGTTCGATGTAAATGTAAGCAGCCATGCTCAGTTAAATTGTAGATATTAAATCAGATACCTCGTGTAGGGAGAATGTCACTATCTCTGCGCATTTAAACCTTTATAGCATTTCACTCTTTCATGGTGCCATCAGTTGTATTTTGGAAGGCAACATTTTTTTTTTAAATTTCCGTAACTTTTGTTTAAAACGGCTTCTATTACATAACGGAGATTGAAGTAGTTTCTTACTGAAGTCATAAAAAAATCGGTCTTTACTGGCCCTTAATTTTTTTAGATTGAAATCCCAACTAGTGTTAATCCCGAATAACCGTAAAAATGTAGGCCCAATCCTAAATTCCCAGTATGATAATGAAACCTATGTACAGTATTTATTGTAAATATGATGTCGTTCAAATAATGCATGAAATATTTGGCACTGGACGTTATGTCTCTTGTTTGTGTGTCTTTAGTGATGTTCGAAACCTAAAATTAAAAAAAAAGGACTGAAAAACCAGTTTGTATCAGAACTGTTGAAAAAAGGGAAGTACATTCTATAATTGAAAGCCCGCCGTGTAATATTCGCCGACAGGAATGATATAAAAAGGCATATATCGGAGTTTAATAGTACAAAATAATTCACTTAGTAAACGAATAATTCAACTGTACTAAAATTATTTGTATGTTCGCTCTAAATATGCATGAAATACTTGCAACTGGACAATAAGCAATTTCATTCAAAAGTTAATTCATATGCAACAGATTAAATTTGCAATTATGATAATAATTAACAATCGGCATTGAACAAACTAATGATAATAAATGACCACTTCATCAACTGTGTCCCCCATCATAGAATTGCCGTAATCGTTACTGATGTCATTTAGGACAAACGTGTATTAGCGCTAAAAGACGTGAGACGTTCTGGCGTTTAACAGTGGACACATTTTGGCGAATAACAATTATCGGACACGTTTGGGGGTTATGAAATCGGACACGTTTGGGCAATATTGAATATTACGGACATGTTTGGGGAGAATAGACACGTTTGGGGGAATCGGACACGTTTGGGGGAATGGACACGTTTGGGAGTGTTACATATATACAAAAAAAAAATGTTTATTCTATTTTTCACACCTAATCTGCTTTTCATTGAATTCTTTAAAATAAATCAATAAATATTACATTGATATGTTTTGTCCTTTGATCAGATATGTGATACACCTTGTATATTGGAAAATTTTTCGTTGAATATTAGTCAAAAGTGTTCGTCATTAGAAATCTTATACTATCAATTTTCGAAGGTATCATCAGCTAATGATCAGTAGTCAGTACTTCGGTACTGACATGATTTATACCAAACTTTCTAAAATTGTCCGTTTATAGATTAAGAAATTATGAAGGAACTAAGGTTTAAACTCTCTCAGATAAAAAATTATCTTAGATGGATTTGGCTGTCCTTTTTGTTTCCTATTTGGTCATATAGCTCGAATAATATCCTTGGTTTTCAAATATTTGGCTTTGGACGTTCTTGATGAAGGTAAATTCAGAGAAGAACTTCGGACGCATGACATTTATAAAGTGTTGTATTCATTTTTTATAGTTAAAAACTTAATTTTTTAATTTTATCTTAAAAGATATTTTACCTCTCCTTAAAACACGATTTATTTTATTCCAAAATATTATTAGATAAGGACACAAAAACGTTATCTTGTTCTTGTGAACAAAAATTACATAAACTGTTATTTTACCAACTGAATAAAAGTTTCTTTATTGGTAGAATATGGCTCCTATTTCTGTATCATATGTAGTAGTTTCCACCTTTACTTATTTACTTTTTTTTCTTTCAAAGATTAAAATGAACATATATATACCTTGTCCTGATGCAACATTATATCTAGTATAATATTTAGAATACTTTTACCGTTTACTAGATCCAATAGATGGTTCAAATATTTTTGCTAACAAGAAAATTATACAACATTTTGTTTGATAATGTTTCTATTTCTATTGGCAAAACGTTCCGGGTGAACTGGTTTCCTTTTATTTTGACTGTGGTGTTTATGTCCCTTTGGTATCCTTCGCCTCTCTTTTTTGATGTTTTCCGACTTCAAGATGGTAACCAAATCATTTGGTATTTATTTTGTTATTTAATTTATTTCAACTATCTAGTTTGATTTTTATATTTCAATTTATTTAAGATATCATCTTGATAATCACAGCCTTTATCATTTCATATATGATCTACATAAATAAGATTGCTTGTAACCCAATCAATCAAAGTTGTTTTTTTTTTTTTTTTGCTTCATTGTTAGACACCCACTAGTTAATTTCCAACATTTCAAGATATCTTTATAAAATCTGGGATATTTTAAAGATTTTCACCAAGATTACTATCTCCACTGATTTTTTGAAACAGAAACCAATGTAGACAAGAATTACTGGAATAATTAAGAGGTATGAGTTTCCAATTCCAACAACGATTTTAAAGATGTCAAATAGCTTCTTAATTTCTTATCCCCCGTCTTCGTTCGAACCAATGGTAGAATTTCGTCTAACTTTGTCTGCTTTACTTGGTCAAATGCATTTAAAACTGTTTTCTATTTACTTCAAATAGTTCAATGGAACTTATAAGCATTCCCCTATAAACGTGAATATAGATATAGTTAATTTTCCAATTATTACATTTTTATTAAATATTTAAAACATTTTATGTATCTTTACTTTTATATTTTCCAAGTTTCTCACATTCCTCTCCACGGTGCTTAAAATATATACCCATGATTTTAAGTGATCCTTCACTCCAGTTGATACATTCTTATAATTGTCATTTCCGTTGACCAAAAAAGCTACTGTAACCCTTTGAATCTCGGGGACAATATAATTATCCTCGATTTTTTTTACATGGACATTACTTGTATAGTCAATTAATAATATAATAGTAGATGTAAAAGGTCCACAGTTATCTAACAAGAAACTAACATGAACTGCCTCAAATAGATCAAAATCACATTTCGGAACCATATGTAGTACAAATGCCCCCATAAAAAAGCAAAACACTTGCATACAGACTCAGCGGTTTGAACATCTACATCAATTATATTTTGAAACCTAGGCATTTTTGTCAGTGCTTACACCCGATTAAGAGGAACAGTGGTTTAACGTCAACCGCAACCAATCCGGCACGATTAACCCTGGGTTTTTGGCGGGGTTCGAGTTTCGATTTTAAATTATGTGAGTATTTTCTAGACTGAGATGCACCTCTACATATTTTTTTTATTTTAACCATGATATTGTTTTTCATTTCTTGGCCTGATTTTTCAATCCCTTGTTTATATATTCATCTTCATTTATCAACATATATCAAATGTATATAAAAAAAAAGAAACAGAAAGAGAATACTTAGAACAATCATCATTTGGACCCGGGGCATTATCTTATCTGTGTTATTAAAGTTTGTTAGAATACAAAATATATATGATATAAATATTATTTTGATTTCAAAACTTCTTTTTAAAGGTTTATTTCCAGTGTGGATAGGTGGATCGGATGTTGTATCTGAGGGTAACTGGACATGGAACGAAGGGACCAATGCAGAAAAGCGCAATATACAACCGACCTTCTGGGGACCTGATCAACCAGATAATTTAGATAGTGATCAGCACTGTTTGGGATATCACAATTTCCAGCATACGGCATATGCATGGAATGATATGTATTGTTGGAGCGGCTATTACTTTATTTGCGAGACGTAAATGCTCGTTATACTGGAAATTATCGGCAAAATGATAACACTGCTTTGATATTTTCTGCATAAATCTTTATAACTTGGTTGTATTTGATTTGAAATGATAATTCGTCCATGTACGTATAAAATAATCCTAATGAAATATGTACTTTGAACTTGGGTTCAGGTATGAAAATATAAATATTATTTGATTAAAATATCAAATAACAATTTATAAATTTCATACGTCCGAACCGCTTTTCTGGATCTACCCAACTAGTATTTAACGTATACTAGTAATTGTTATCCTCTTGTAGCACCTTATTTGTGTCTAAGTTGTAAAGGTTTGTCTTGTCTTTTAGATTGCATGTTAAGCAAAACACCTGTTCTACTGCAAGTAATCCAACTCCTGTTCCACTGCACTTAAGAAATGCATTCGTTCCATCGCAGGTAAAACAATACATCTAACGTATCGTGTTAGCATCTTTTTAAATATTATCAGTATAAATTTTGTAGTTATTGTATAGCAAGTATTGACAAACCTCGATTTATTGTTGTTGTATTGAATTATATTGCTCATTTATTTAAAGTATGACATGCTTGCAAATTTAATGTATATTTAATGTATTTGTTAATTTATAATCGTTATCCTCTTGTAGTACCTTATGTGTGCCTAAGTTGATATAAATTATCACGTCTTTTCTTGTCTATTCGACTGCAAATAAAATAATACACCTGCTCCAATGAGGTAAAATGGCAACTGTTCCATTTCAGAAAAAAAATGACACATGATCCTCTGAAGGTAAAACAATACACCTACTCCACTGAAGATTAAATGTAAAATGATCCACTGCAGGTAAAAACTCCTGTAGGTTGCAATTCTGTAAATACAGACAATGCAATTTCCCATAGGAACTCCCTTTGCGGCTAAAACTGTGACACTTTTACTATGAAGTTTCGTGAAAAATAATATCCCAGAACGGAAAGTTTATATGCACTACTATTTTATTCAAAGGTCAAAATATAGGGCTGTGCGACATATTTTCAACATTTATATGCCCTGAACTTCTAAGAGTTTAAACTTATACTAAAATTCTATACTACCCTTACCTCCATTTTTGGACCTCCTAAGAATTAAAATTTAACCGATACTGGTTACATTCCCAAGTGATGTCTCTATGAGATGAAACACAGAGATCATCAATGGGAACCAGTACGTTAACAAATTAACATACCTATGAATATTAAATATCTCCCCAAAAGAGGCGTGGTTTGAGAAACAGCTGTATTTACAAAGTGCAACCTATACAAACATTTATTCAAATAGAAAACTCTCTAAAAACACTTTTTCTCACAACAATACTTATTTATCAGAATTATAGCCTTAAAGAAATCACTGCATATACTCTAAGTCTCCTTTTACAGTACATTTTATACCCCTACCCCTGTTTCAATTTTTTAAAGATTTTGAAAACAAGACTCTAATTATTGCCAGCTTACCCTATGTGCATGTTTTCTGACATGAACTGTCTAAAACCTGTTTGAAACTATTCTGATAACAAATTGAAAGCATTTTAGAATACTATAAATGTTTTGTTTAGTAGTTAAGCATTCCAACATTCAAGATTATACAAAGTATCAAATCCTGCCTGTGTCTCCAGTCCACATCTTACTGTATGCCTATTTGTCAATGAAAGTTCACAATTTCTGCCTCAAATGGTCAGTTTAGAATTCTTGTCACAACAGTATCATCCCTAACCATATATCTAACATAAGTTAGTTAATATATGTCCTAGAAGTGTTTAAACAAAGGCATATTTGCAAAAGTTGTATTTATGAAGATATCAGTCTGGTGCATAAATTCACTACAAGTTTCATTGAAATGACTGCTTACATCTGATTTTTGCATAACTTCCTAGCACAGTTATTGTTTACTTTATAAAAGACCTTTAAAATAAAAAAATCATAGCATTTACAAGTTAAATTATCTGTTTTATGACTCAGGGGTAGGCATTTTCCTCTGTTTTTTGCCCCTGGGGCCTCACATTTCCTAATTTTTTTCCCTGTTTCTAGCAATGTGAAATATTTACTACATATTTCGGATAGAACACACTATTGTAAGTTTTACTGAGGTCTTTTTGTAATTCTAGCTTGTATTTTTTTATGCCGCAGTCACAAAAAAGCACATTTAGGCGTTACGGCTTACTTTTGGGTTATCGACAGGACAAAAACACCCCACCAGAAATATTTAGGAAGGATGAATGAGTTGCAATTACTGCGAAGAGTAAATATAAGCACTTCTAAACAATTTAAATTACAAATAGGCATATATTATGAATTTATTTTGAATTCAGGGCTTTAAGTAAACCATGCATACTTTAAACTGTGAATTTATGCTGAGTCATCATAGTTAAGGCCCAGGATTTTCTCAATCTTCATGAAATATTTATAAAACTTCATATTTGAGTTAAATTCTTTAAAATCTCTGAGATAAACCAGATTTTGTGAAATTCTGTATGTTCTATTTTTTAACCCTATATAGGTTGCAATTCTGTAAATACAGACAATGCAATTTCCCATAGGAACTCCCTTTGCGGCTAAAACTGTGACACTTTTACTATGAAGTTTCGTGAAAAATAATATCCCAGAACGGAAAGTTTATATGCACTACTATTTTATTCAAAGGTCAAAATATAGGGCTGTGCGGCATATTTTCAACATTTATATGCCCTGAACTTCTAAGAGTTTAAACTTATACTAAAATTCTATACTACCCTTACCTCCATTTTTGGACCTCCTAAAAATTAAAATTTAGCCGCTACCATGTTTATCTATACTGGTTACATTCCCAAGTGATGTCTCTATGAGATGAAACACAGAGATCATCAATGGGAACCAGTACGTTAACAAATTAACATACCTATGAATATTAAATATCTCCCCAAAAGAGGCGTGGTTTGAGAAACAGCTGTATTTACAAAGTGCAACCTGTAGACTTGTTCAGCTACAGATCAAACAATACAGATGTTTATACGAAGGTTAAACAAAACATCTATTCCACTGCTGGTAAAACAATATGGCTGTTCCACTGTGTGTTGAACAAAACACCTATTCCACTGCTAGTAAAACAATACAGCTGTTCCACAACAGGTTTAACAAAACACATATTCCATTGCTGGTAACAAAAATACAGCTGTTCCACTGCATGTTAAACAAAACATCTATTCCACTGCTGATAAAACAATACAGCTGTTCCACAATAGTTTAAACAAAACACCTATTCCACTGCTGGAAAAACAATACCTGTTGTTCCACCGCATTAAACAAACAGATATTCTACCGTAGGTTTGACAAAACACCTATTCCACTGCTGGTAAAACAATACAGCTGTTCAACTGCAGGTTAAACAAAACACTTATTCCACTGTTGGTAAACAAATACAACTGTTCCACCGCAGATTATACAAAACACCTATTCCACTGCTGGTAAAACAATACACCTGTTCCACCACAGGATAAACACAAAACACCTATTCCACTGCTGGTAAAACAATACAGCTATTCCGCCATACAAAACACGTCTAAGTGCGGCAACCAGAAAATATTTTCTTACTTGCAACAATATAACCACGAACGATGATGTACTGTTTATGATTAATTTTAAGCTAATCAACTTAACGGTGGATCCCTTGAACAATGATTAGAACTTTTGCACTAAACTTTTAATCATTTAGAAATTGATAGAAACGGATAAAAATGTGGGAACACAGAGTCAACAATTAAAGACCAAACAGCCTTTTCATTTTAACCAGTGATTCTTTTCTTCAAATTTTGTGTGAAGGTACTTCATGATATTAAGAATCAAATATGATGAAAAAAATTGGGGGATCACTGACAGTGATTTCTTCATAAAGATTGCAAGAAAAAAACATAGTGTGTTTTCTTTGAAATAAAACCTAAAAAAGTATATGTCACCGACCTTTCAACTTTTTTTTGAGTATTTCTCAAAAAAAAGCTGTCTTTCTTCAGAACACTGAATCTGACGTCATAGTACAAGTTTCTCCTTAATTTTCAAAAATATTGCAAATTGGACTTTTGAAACACACAGTCAAATTTTGAAAGATAACAGCAATAAACACCAACTTTTGTTATCCGGTACTGAAGAGATCACATGTCATTTATCAATGTATCAGTATTTGTCAGATCTCATTCTGTTGCCGCAAAAAATAGCTTTCAGAAACCCCGATCGGGTGAAATGTAAAAATTGTTCGAAAATCACCTTCTATTCCGCTTTAACCATCTCTGTGTCATGGTCCACTTTTGACCCATTTCATTAAACGCGCTAACCCTGGCCTGGTCAAACCAAAATCTTGAAAATTGGTATTTGTTGCTTTTCCGCTAAGCACGCGATATTTAGGAGTCGGGTGTATAAAAACTATTCCATCTAATTGGTGAATTCATTATTTCTGAATAGTTAAAATCTAAGAAACTTGAAATGATAGGTAGAATTAAGTATTTAATTCTAGAATGTTACATGTATTTGGCCTATTATTAAATACGAACTCGATTATACTCTTCAAAGGTCTTGTTTCAATGACACAGTAAGTACAAAATATAAATAAGCCGGAAAAGACGTCTAGTTTTAGAATTTAACAATTTTCATTTGAACTGTAAGTAATAATTTCCTGTTTAAAACTATAAATGTATATCACAAAACAAATATAAATGTAAAAGATTAACATTTCATTATCTTTTGAAACTTAGCTGTTCTTTTTTATAAATTAAAACAAATGACAACGTATACATGTACAATTGCTGGCACTGAAACTTGAAATTTGTTTTCAATCTTTAAGGTCATTGTAACTTCTTGAAAGTGAGAAAATTAATGTTGGATTTGTTTCGCGGAGAAATCGTATTTTTAATTAGTTAATGTAACAAAAGTTTAGTTTTACAAACCTTAGATTTTTTTCACATTCAAGTATTGATTTCTTAAACATTTTGCTTTAAGCTTTAGAGAGAGCAAGCGAAGTCTTTATTCTTTTTTCCTTACGACAATTATAAATGAGACAAATGACAAAATGCAATGCACCTTTAATCCTTTTAAAGATTTTGTCACACCTCATTAATAGATCGGACAATGGTATAGTTTTACGTGAATCAGTTAAACTACTCCATCCAGATAATGAGGAAAAGTCAAAATTGGTGCCAGTAGATCGAAATTACTAGAACAATTTTTATTGGCCTAAACTTTAAAAAGCTCAGTCATAGTGAAAAACAAAATTCAAATTCTAAGCGTTAGTCAATTTAAATTTACCCTTGTACACACGTAAAAAATCGCAATATTTGTAGTTGAACCTTCAATATCATGGTTACAGGTAGTGTAGCATCTTTCGTGTTAATTTTTGTCTAAATTTCAGTTTTCTTGAGAAAACTTATTTTGACGCGTACATCATATTGGAATCCGTGAAACACGGGAAATGGAACACTATAATCTGCTGTTTTTTGCCGAACTGGAAGAAACGTCATAGAGTTTTCATGTCACAATTAAGTTGCGTTAGCTAACGTGCATAAACAATAGGCTGTTTGATTTTTTAAGTACAAGTAATCCAGTTTGAGTGTAGTTCGTGTTGCGCATTTTATAGTTTTCTATCTTTTGTTTTGTGGACTGTTGTTTATTTTTAGCTTTTTGTGTTTTCCTGCCAAGGTATTGACGGTATTTCTTCGGCTTTGGATTTTTGCT